ATACTGCGTAGTTTAAAGCGTAAAGAGGAGAGCTTTTGGTGTGAGTATATTTTTTTACAGGATTTTTTCAAGGTAAAGAGATACTATAGTGAAGTTTTTATTTTAAAGTAACTAAAATTACGTTGTCACGGCGCTCTAGTATTGAATTTTAAGGAAATATATAGTTACGTGATTATTTTTTTCCTTTGGGTTGCGCTGTTTGCGAGTATTTGAATTTTTTAATTCTCGGTTGAGGTATCGCAGTAAAGTAGATTATACCATAAAATTTTTTCTTTAGTTAGTAATAATAAATTTTTATAGCACCATTTATAAAACTAATGATATTTTAAAATGAGATGTGCGTCGGTTTGAATAACTAAAATTAGTCTATTTGTTATAGTAAAATATCTTTTCCTCTATAATAAAAATATGGTTTTTTTCTCCGCTTTCTTTTTAAGTACTTTTCAAGAAGTCATGTTTTTTAAAAGAAAAAATATACAAGAATACATAAACAAATTTACAAAAAGAAAGATAGCAAAAATAAAAACTAAAAAATAAATCATAATAATAAAATTTATGATTCGAAAGTTAACTAATTCTAGTTAAGGATTTCAACCAATGCTAAACAGTCTTTAAGTAATATTGTAAAAAATGACTATTAAACCAAACAAGGAAATAACATCACGTTTGAATTAATAAAAAAAATATCATTGTAACTTGTAGGAATAAGTTACTAAAAAAATATGATATATTTTTTTTTTGTAAGACGTGTAAAGGATATCGTAAACAGGACAATAAACTGTCTCGTAAACTTTCTCCATATTTTCTACTTTACATCTCATATGACTACTTTGTATATAACCCTTTTTATTTTATTTTTAAACGTAATATATTAATATTATAAATCTTTTTATACATCTTTCAATTTTATATTTTCCATTTATAATACTTTTAGCATATCCCAAAGTCTACATTTATTAAAAGAACTTCTAAAGTGTTAAAGTTAACAGGCCCCAGAAAAGCCTGTCAATTTTTTAGCATCTTAAAAAGATAAATAAATGAAGATATACAAGTCTCTTTAACGAAATGAGCTTATAATGATTGTTGTAAACCTCTAATAATATAAGGAATTGTCTCTATTTTAGTAAATAAATCGTAATATGACCCTGCAATTATTGAATGCTTTTACCTTCAAGAAGAATAAGCGCTAACCTTCGTTAAAAATATAAAAGATTCCGCATTAAGGGTTTTGTTAATATATATTTAATAAATTCTTATTTTTTGGAATTATGGGCTAAAGACTCAGTTTTTAAGTCAGTAAACAACGACAACTGAAAGGGAAGCACCAGAGAAGAAAAAACGAGAAAGGGCCAACAACTAAGTAAGAAAGTCATCTATTGTATATAATATATATTAATAACACGTGTACATAATGACCAGGTTCACCTCCCTTATACAGCTTATCTTGGTATTTCTTTTTTTGGTCAAAGTAAAGCTTAACTAATCGCGCTTGACACAAAGGAACCAGGATACTAAAAATAAATTCTCTAAAATTAAAAGGACAAATAATACATTCACAAAGCGCATAACGCATTTCATTATTGTTACTTCGATCTTCTCTTTCGCGTGGAACTTACGAATAATTTATAGCACTGTATAAATAAAGGTAATAGTAACATTTACAAAGAAAAGAACAGTTTTATTAGACTGTTCCGAACTCTTTCTTAAAGACTACAGCAGTCTTAAGCGTGCGAACTACCTTCGTTATACATTATAGGTCCTTAAGTTTTTTAAAGTTTGGCATTTCCTAACTACGAGTTATGGCTATCAAAAAAACTATATAAAAGGTCCGCTTCTTTAGTTTTGAGATTAAAAAAAATTTACATCTTTAATAGGTGGATCACCTAGATTAAAAATTTATGAACTATGTAATTTTGTAACATTTAGTTAATAGTGCTGACGTAAAGATAGTTTTTAACACAAACAAGTTTAAATTTTTATTACTAAACATCATAGTTGATTAATTTACTAAAATAATATTTTAATATAGCATTCTACTTACAGGCATCTCGTGATCGACTTTATAAATAGGCGTTAATAGTCATGAGAGTTAATAAAAATCCGGAAGTTATTTTTACACCAACTATTTCAGTTAGCAAAACAAAAATGAGCTTTTGAAAGAAATCTTTTTTTATGTTTAAAGTTAAATATATATTCCTTCTGTCCTACCTTCTAGCCTCAATACCGAGTTTCTGCTAAGGTTACCTAGCTCTCTCGCCTTAGCAAACCGACAGTAAGCAACGTAAAAAAAAATATTCCAAGTAAAACAACTTGCATGGAGATATTGAGGGACAAAAGAAAGTTTAGTTTCTAACCAAAAATACACAATTTTTCCTCGTCTATAAATGCCATAAAAGTAGTAAAAGTGGGAACTTTACAAGGATTAAATGCAAGTGATTGTCTGAACTGCTTCCAATAGTGAATGGTCAAGCTCGGCATCCTTCAACACCATAGACAAGGTCATTTCATATTAACTATATGCACTAATTTAAAGAAGGTAGTCTCTTTATACTTCATCGCAAAAGACATAAGTGCTTATGCTAAACCTTAATGTTGAGTGCGAATAATAATCGCTGAATGACTGGATTTGCGTAATCTGAGCAGATAAAACCAGATATTGCTTAGTTTTTCTTGACCCTCGTCAGTTTTGTTTAAAAAAAAAAAGTTCCATCTCTAGAGAAACGTAGCGAAGGGACCATTTTAAAATTCAATTGTGTAAAGTTAAGTCATCGCTTTTTGAGCTAATTTTGGTAATGACATGAACGCCGAGCTGTATAGCGCAATCTTCAGCTGTAATAATATTTTAGCATGAGAACGACATAACGTGAAGGGAGATGCGAAATGAACTAAACAGTTACAACCTGCTTATCTTCAATTGGCCCCCAACAATAATTTCCTTCTAAACTTTATTAAATATTTATAATACATATGCGTAATAAGGTGAGGGTATAAACAAAAACTGTCTTCTGTACAAGTCAGGCTAATGGGACTACAAGAAAAGCGAAAGTTTGCAAAGCGAATGTATGTGAAAAGCTAATCTCTAGCATGCTTGCCAGAGTCTGAAGTTTTTATAGTAAAAGTTCTACAATCGCTTATGAACTTGATATAAAACAGTATTCATAAAACAGTACTCCAGTTTCTTTCATTAATAGTAATGATTCGCGAATTTCATACATTTTATGCAAGTTCTCCATGGTAAAGAAGAGTTAGTATTCTTTACAAGCGGCCACTAGAGTATTTTCTACTGAATTTTATAAAATTACCAAAAAACGTATAACCCCTTAAGTTTTCTTTTATATGAGGCTATTCCTTCTACGAAAGTTTTGTTTTTCTGGGGCTAACTCACAGTCAAGCACCTATGAAATAATAGATCTTGTTCCAGAACAATTTTTGTATATTGCAACTATTATATTTCAACAAAACAAAAACCACAAGGTTCTGTGTAATTCATATAAGAATTTTATATGACTTTTCCAGTAACAAAATAGTTAAAATAAAAACCATAAAAAGATCGCACGCTATATTATGATTAAAATAAGTCGTACAGCTTAATCAACTTAAGTGAACGAATTAAAATAAAATAAATGAACAAAAGCTTTTTTTTTTATAATTTAGCCAATAAAGTTATTGTATTATCTCCATGTGCATTAGATAACATTCTCTGTAAAACTACTAATAAAAAGCAAAAACTTTCTTTAGCGATTGCTTGCATTTTGGCGTGTTTACAGTTAACACATTTTTTCAGGTGTAAAAGTATTAATAATTCCAAATGTTTACGTGATTATTAAATGAGGTTCATCTATACTAATATAAAATTCTTTAGCCACAAGCAAAATATATTAAAGTAGTTTGTATTCTTGACATTTTATCAGAAGTAACTATATTAATAATACTTAGAGTTTATAGTTTTTGAAATAAAGTTTGATATCAATAATTTAAAGAAATTATTATTCCGCTTAAAAAATATCCAAAGTAGTGTGTAAATTTTTAACATTTTCCAGAAAATATTTATAATTTTTAATGTATATATAATTAATGATATAAAGTTTATTATCTATACTATTGAAAATACTTTTTCCACAGGAAAAGTATATTAAAAGTAGTTTGGATACTACTAATTTTGTGTCAGATGTAAAACATTAAGAATTTCAAATATCTATAAATACTGCAATCAAGTTTCTCCAAGGCAATCATTTACTTAAACCTACGAGGGCAGCTCTGGAGCCTATATGGCTATTCGTTATTTGTTAGGAGAAAGGCCATCTCCTAATATAACAAAAAAGTGTAATATATTTTTTAGTATGCACTAGAGCTATAATAAAAATAAAGTAAAAGCTCCATCTTGACCTTAACTAAGTCTGATTTTTTTATTCAATTTTTATCTACCTCCAGCTTTCCTTAAAATCTTTAAAGTTAAGAAACCTTACTAAAATTTTTATCTTTTGTTGTACTGGATATGTAAATATTGCTTCACCTTAATAAACAATTAATATAATATTGTTTTATAGCATAATAATTATATAACATAATTTACTTCTAGATGAACTCCGCTTTTACAGATAACACAAATACTAGTGTTACTCCGTCTAAAACAGAAGTTAATAATACTAATAATATCAGCACCAAAAATAACCAGTTTTTATATATTTTTTGCATTTTCTTTTCCTTTTTAATTTTTTTTAATTTTTTTTTTTTAATTTATTGTAATTTTAAATATATGTAGTGTGGTCGTGAAAGTCGGTATGATAGGAGATGCTCAGGTTGGAAAAACTTGTTTAATGGTTAAATATGTTGATTCAATTTTTGATGAAGAGTACGTTAATACGCTCGGTAAAAAAAAAATAAACAAAATTATTGATTTTTAAAAAAAATTGTAAGAAATTACCTAAATATATATAAAAAGTTTTTTATTTTTTAAAGATCTTGAGTTTTTATTATATTACCTTTTTTTTTAAAGAAATAAATTCTACTTGTTGTGACCTTCTAAGTAATTATCTCAATTTTAATTAGTACAAACTTTTTTATTTTCCATAAAATTTAAATTTATAGGAGTTAATTTTATGGAAAAAACTATTGTGATTAGAAAAACGGAAATTACCTTTAGTATTTGGGACCTCGGCGGTAAAAGAAAACTTTTCTGCCTTTATTATCTAATTTTTTATTAATTTTTAGTAAAAAAAGATTTGAATTTTTAAGTTAAAAAAAAAAAATTAAAAGTTAAAATTTTACTATCTTTCGTGATATAAAATTATTGTATTATAATTTTATAGACAAGGAATAAATAATAAAAAGTAAAAAAGTATAAAGTCACCGAAACTTAATTTTTTTTTGTAAATATATATTTTTATAGATAAAAGGAAATATTTATAAATTTTAAAAATGTAAAAAGTTAAAGATTTTACTCTGTTTCGTGAGTATATAATTTTATTATGATAGTCTGATTATAAACGAAAAGAACATATAATAAAAAGTTAAAAAGGGGTAAAGTTCTATTTCGTTCATATATAATTGTATAAAGAAGTAATTTATAAAAATTCAAGTATTTAATGTCATAAATTTTACTTTTTTTGTGATTATTCGAAATTTTCATAATATTATTTATTTATAGACTAAAGGAATATGTAATAGAAACTAAAAAAAAAAAAGTGTAAACTCTATTTCGTTAATATATAGTTTTATAGAAAAAGTAATTAATAATAAAAAGTAAAGAGTAAAATCAAAAATTTTATTTTTTTGAGGTAAATTTGTCACTTTAATTATATATATAGGTCAAAAGGAATTCGTAAATATGCTTCCGCTTGTGTGTAACGATGCAGTGGCGTTGCTTTTTCTGTTTGATCTCTCAAGAAAGCAGACTTTGAACAGCGTAAAAGAGTGGTATAGGCAAGCGCGTGGTTTTAACAAAGTAAATTAATTAATTAAATTGATTTTAGTTTAGAGATTTTAAATTAAAATTAATTTTGTTACCTAACAGGGTAAACGATTAATTTCGTTTTTGAAATTTTATATTTAAATATAATTTAGTAAACAATTTACTATAAATCCAACTTTTTTTATTAATTAATTAAAAATATAAATTTCGTTATCTTTAATTTAGAGATTTTGAGTTATATTTAATCTAGTAAGCTTTTTCATTTAAAAAGCGCTCAATAGCGTAAACGATTAATTTCATTCTTAAAATTTGAAAATTAAAATAATTTAGTAAACAGTTTACTATGAATTCAACTTTTTTTTTATTGAAATAAATTATAAATTTAGATTATATAATAATAAAAAATTACTATATTATATTGATTATAATTTAGAGAACTAATTTTTTCGAAGAAGTATTTTCTATAATATTTTTATTTTTAATAAAAACCGAAATTTCTTTTATTAAATTTTTCTCATCTTTCTACAAATCACGAATTATTTTTTATTTTTTTAAAAAAACTAACAAATCTCTTTTATTTATTTTCTTTTACTTTTTATAAATTCGACTCATTTTTATAATAATAATCAAATTAATAATCTAAAGTTGGTTTTTTTTAAATTTAAATTTCTTTCTTATTCTTGCAAATATTATTTTATAGTTACTATATTATTATATATATATATTTTCATTATAAATTATTGTATAAATAAAATAATTAATATTAAAGTCAAATATTAATATTATAAGTTATTATATTATATATAATAATATAAAACACGTTTAAAATTATTCATAAGTAAATAATGATACTACTACATATTAATATAAATTATTATGTTTCTTTTAAAAAATTTCGCAAATAATTTTTTTTTATAATTATCTTTATTAGTAAAATTTTATAAAGTAGTTGAACTTATAATTTTCTTTCTTTATAAAAATATGTTTAATTATAATTATTTTTTAACCTTTTCTAGAGTAAACTTTTTTTCTTTAGTAACTTTTTTATAAAATAATTGAAATATAATTTTTTTTAGTAATTATTTTCCATACTTAAAATGTTTTTTTTATTTTAAATCCTTTTAATAGCAAATTTTTTTAAATAAACTTTATTTATAAATTTTTCTTTATTATGAAGTTTTTTTAATTATAAAATTTTTGCTTCATCTTTTTCATTACATAATTTGTTATTTTTTTTATTAATATATTATAAACTATTTTTACTTAAAATATCAATATATAACACTTTTTTTTTTAAATTTTTTATTTTTTTATTAAATGAAAATTTATTTTTTCTTATTATAAATTACAATTTTTATATAATATTTTTATTATAGTAAACTTTTCTTTTTCTATTATATTAATTATTTTTTTTTTAATTTTTATAATACTTTTTTAATAGTAAAGTTTTTCTTTATATTATCATATTATAAAGTATTATTCCTATTAAAAAATTCACAATTGTTATATAATATTTTTTTATAGTAAACTTTCCTTTTTATTATTTTATTATAATATATTTTTACTTTCATTTCATTATTTTCTTATTTAGTTCTTTAAACGATAATTTTCTAATACAAATTTGTAATAAAAAAATTCTGAGTATATATATTTTTACGTTAATTTATTAATCCATAATTTTTTTAGTAAACTCTAATTTTTCTTATAAAATATATAATAATAGGTAATAGGTTTTCATATTATTAATAAACTTTTCTTTTTAAAAAAATTTTTATACATAACTTTTTTTAATTAAAACACTTTATAGTACTTAAAAATTTTCATAATTTTTTTATTCGGTAATTCGCTTTAATAAATTAATTCTGAATATATTTTATTAATTATTTAAATTTTATTATAATTATATAATATTTAATTTTTTCTTAGTGGCTTTTATTAATTATTTATAATTAATATTTAATAATATTTTAGAAATTTTCTATAAATAATTAATATAATATAATTTTTGATAATTAATAATTATTTGGTTTTTATAAAATTTGTATTATTAATTTAAAAACTATTTTTTCATATATACTACGATTTTAATTTTTTTTTTAATTATATATCATAGTAAATTTATATAAAATTTTTTATGATTTATTTTTATATAAAAATTTTATTATAAATAATTTTTTTTATTTTTTCATAAATAATATTATTTTATACTTTTTATAAACTATAAGAAAATAGTAAACTTTTAATATTTTTTATAAGAATTTCATTAATTATTATTATGATTAATTTTTTTATTAAGTTTTCATTTGTCTTTAATAACGAGATTTCCTTTTTAATACTAATAATTGTATTACATTAAATAAAATTTTCCCTTAAAAAAATTGTATTAAATAGTTTTTATTATGATGAAATTTATTTATAATGAATTTCAGCAATTTTTTTTAATTATTACTATCTATAATAAACTTATTAAAACATAATTATAAAAATAATTCTAAATATCTCTTATCATTTTATTATTAAACTTTACTTTATTAATTATGATATAAATTTTCAATAATCGTTTTTGATATAACTTTTTTCTAGTAGCTTTTTTCATTTTATAATTTTATGAATAATTTTTTATAATTTTTTTTTTACTTTTTGTTTACTTAAATTTTTTTAGTATAAAAATTTCTATATAGACCATAATTTCTTATCAATAAATAAATGTAATAATAAAATCATTATGAATGTTTGTTAAAGTAAACTTTTATCAATATTTTAATTTTTTTTATTATTAAGTAACAAACATATACTAATTATTAGCATTTACTAAACTTTTTTTTAAATATAATATTAATATTGTTTATGAATTTATAGTACATAAAAGAAATAAAAATTTTTATAAGTAACCTTTTTATAAATTCATTTATTAACTTAGATTATTATTAGTAAATTTTTAAAGGAAACATTAACTTTTATCAATACTAAAATTTTTCAAATTTAGTATATTTTTAATATTTATTATAAATTAATTATTATAAATTTTATAATAAGTTTTTATAAACTTTAAAAGTTATTTATAAATATTTTATAAAAAAATTTTTTTAATACTAAAATTTTTCTTCACTAAACTTTTATCAAAATTTTTATTTATTATTAATTTTTTTTTTAGAAATTTTATTTAAAATAAAATTTGGAAAATAAAATGAAAAATTGCAATCTTTTTATTAACTTATATATTTTATTTTTAGTATATTTAAAAAACTTTTTTACTTTTTACTATGAAATTCATTTTATACAATTATTTTAAAAAGTAAATTTAAACTTTTTTGATTAACTTTTAAATTTTATTTTAGTTTATTCTAGTAACATTTTACTTTTTCATAATAAAGTTTGTTTATTTAATAATTTTTAATAGTAAACTTTTGGTATATTTTTTTATTATTATTGTGTTTTACTTATAAAAAAATTTCTGCATGTCTTTTTTAAATAATTTTTGTTATAATTTTTTATTTTTAATAGTAGTAACTTTTTTTATATAACTTTTATTTTTTAAAAAGGATTTTCAGTAAATAATAAATTTTATTTTAATTACTTTTAATATATTGAATTATTATATATATTTTTAATATTCTGAATACTTCTAATATATAATTTCATTTGTGTGACTAAAATTTTAGTGCTTTATTAATTTTTAATAAAATTTTTTATTCAAAATTTTCTATTACAAATATTATTAATATAATTTTTTGTTAAATTAAAAAATTACATACTTTTTTAAATTATTATATTATTGTTTAATTTACTTTTTCATAAAAATAATTAATCTTTTATTTTTTTTAAAAAGTTTTGAATACTTGTTTATGTTTTTAATACTTTTGAAAAGTTTTTTATTATACTTTAAAGCACGACTATAATTTTTTGTTATGAATTTTATAATTTTTTTTTATATCCTTAAAATCTTATGATTCATTTTTATTATAAAAAATGCATTTGGTTTATTAATAAAATACATTTTTAACATTTTTATATATTTAAAAAAAAATTAAGTTCAGTTCTTTATTATTTTAATAATACAAATATGAAATTCTTATTATTATTATTATTATTTTGTTAAAGAAAATAGTTATTAATAATTATTATATTATTAAAATATTTTTACAAAAGAGGTAATTATTATTATTTAAAAGTATTATTATAATTATTATTACTAAAGATTAAAAAAAATTTTATAAAAAGTTAAAATTTTTAAGGTATTATCAAAAAATATAAAGTAAAAACCTTTTTTTTTTCCAACTACTTATAGATAATTTTGTTTAACTTATACAATTTTTATTTTAAAATATTTTTTATAAAATTCAGTTTTTTCTTATAAACTTTTTACAATTATATATATTAATATATATTTATTATAAAGTTATTATCTTTTTTTTTAATATTTTTTCCTCATCAGTATTCGTTATTTCCAACTTTTTTGCCTTTTTTAATAATGGAATAATATTTTTTATAATTATCAGGTTTTAAACTTTTAATAATTATTTTTCATAAACTAATTTTTTTTTAATACATATTTTATTATTTTTGTTATTTTAAACTTTTTTCTCCTTTTTTATAATATTTTACTATATAAATTTCATTTTTTGTTTATTATAAATTTCAATTTATTCTTATAAATTTTTTATAATTGTTTATAGTAGTATATATATTATAAACTTATACCCTTTTTTTAAATATTTGATGTTATTATTTTTGTGTCTTTAAACTTTTTGCTTTTTTTTTTCTATATATACTGATATTTATTAAAAATTTTACTATATTCTTATAAACTTTTATTAATTATTTTTGTTTATATTTATTTTTTATAAACTTATTATCTTTTTTTTAACCTTCATGTTCTTATTATTTTCAGTTATTTTAAACTTTTTTGCTTTTTTTTAAATATATTAATATTTATTAAAAATTTGCTTTTTCTTATAAACTTTTTTAATTATTTTTCGTAGAGTTATTACTTTTTAGCAATATATATCTAAATAATTTTTGTTATTTTAAAGTTTTTTATAATTAATAATATTTTATATAAAAAATTTTCTGTAAGTTTATGATAAATTTCAGCTTTTTCATATAAACATAATAATTTTTGTTAATATTTATTTTTTATAAACTTATAAACTTTTTTTTTCAAAAATATATTTTAATTTTGTTATTTTTAATTTTTTTCCTTTTTTTATAAGACAATAATATTTTATTAAATAAAAAATTTTCTTTAATTTTATTATAAATTCCAGTTTTTTCGTTTAAATTTTGTTATTATTTTTTTCTTTGTTATTTTAAACTTTTTTTTTTTGATTTTTATAAATATAATTATTTTTTACTAAATAAAAAATATTACTTTATATATTATAAATTCTTATTTATTTTTAGTAAACTAATTTTTATAAACTTTTCATTTAATTTTTTTTCAGTATAATATTTTATTTATAAATAAGTTTTTATCTGAACTTCTATGTATAATTTTTGGTTGAAATAATATTTTATTGACTTTTTTTTACTTATAACTATTAAAATGTATAATTCACTAATATCTTTTTATATCAGCAGAACATATTCTTTTTTACAGGAATTGAATTTTTTCTAATAAACTTTTTTAATAAAACTCTATTTTTATTATTTTAAATTTATTATCCGCTATTTTGCTATTTTATTAGTATAACAATATTTTTTATTATATTTAGTTAAAAAATAATTTCTTTATAGCTTTATTATTATTTTTGTATATAAAAATAATAAAAGACCGCTTTTTCATTTCTTGTTGGTACGAAGTACGACATTTTTGCTAATTTTCCTTTTGAACAACAGGAAGAACTTTCTAGGCAGGTAAGCTTCTTCTTCTTCTTATTATTATTATAATAGTTATTATTATTATCATTATTATTATTATTAATATTATTATGCATCTTTATCTAAAATATATGTCGTGTTTTTTTAGTATTTGCTAATTTAATTTATTTATTAACATATAGTATTATAAATTTTGAATATATATATATAAAAAAATATTGTGATCTTTTAGTAAAAAAAGCAATATTTAATAATAATTATATTTTTTATTAGGTCTATAATATTATTGAGTTTGTAAAAATAAAACTACATTTAATTAGCTTTAAAAAAAAGTTTCTTTAGTAAAATAGGAGTTATAATAATAATAATTATACTTTTAAACGTTTAACTTTTAATTAGACTTATAATATCATTGGATTTATATAAATTATATAAATATATTTATAAAACTTTTAAACAATATTGTTGATTACAGTAAAAATAGAGTAAATAATAATATTAATTTTAAGAGATTTTACTTTTTACTAAATTTATAATATAATTAATTTAATATTTTAAAAAAATATATTTTTATATAACTTTTAAAAAAATTTATGATATATAATTAAAGTATAATTTTATTTTAGTAAATAATAATTATAAAAAATATAAATTATTTGAATTTCTTTTAATTATAATTAAAAATTATATCAAAATATAATTACAACTTTAATAAATTATTATTGTAAATAATATTAATGAAGAATTACAATAATTAAATTTAATAATAACGATGCAGTGAATGATGATGTATCGTTAAAGTAATTTTCTTCCACCAAAAATAATAAAAATAATAAAAATAATAAAAATGATAAAATAATATTTTTTTTAATAAAGTTTATACATTTTATAAATAAAATAAATTTATTTATTATTACACAAACACGCCTTTCATTGCTATAAAAATTTACTTATTTAAAATATACATAAACTTTCACTTATTATATTTTTTATTAAAAATTTTATAACCTTTAGCAAATATATTGTGTTTTATAATATTTTTATTTACTTTGAATAAATAAAACTTACCGAAAATTTTATATAATTAATAGTATTTATAGTATATAATCTTTAAAATTTTTTATAACATAAGTTTTTTTATAAAAAATATTCTTTACTATGGAAGTATGCAAAAAAGTTAATAAAAGTTAAAAAGTTAATCAGTTCTAATAGAAATTCTATTTAGAAACATATAAATTTATTATCAACAAAAAAATATGAAAAGTTTTTAAAATATTATTTACTGCACAGAAATTTTATTTATAAAAATTTAATATAAAAATGTTAAAAAAAAATTTTATTTTTTAAATGTTTTATTATTGGAAGTTGCAGGAAAATAAATTTATTTATAAGAGAAGTTATAAAAACTTTAAAATTTAATAAATGTACGTATTATTAATTAATATATATATAATATATATAATTATTAAAGTTTTGTATTACATATTTTATTAGTAAACAAAAAAGTTAGAAAAGTTTAAAATGTATTAAAATTTATTAGAAACATTATTTATAAATATTAAAATATTATAAAGTTTTTCTAGAAATATTATGTTGAATATTTATTATTATTCAAATATGCAGAAATAAAATTTTATTAATAAATAAAGGAGTTAGAGGTATTTTGGTTAATATTTAATATTCATAATAATAAATATAAATAATATATAAAACATACGAAAACAAGTAAAAAAAAATTATTAGATAAAATAGTTAATAAAAGTTTATAAATTTATAAAATATTATAACATTATTATGTTTGTGAAAAGTTTTCTTTATATATTAAAAGTTTTATTACTATTATTTGCAGGAAAAAATAAATTTCCTTATTAATAATTATGAAAGTTTAAAAGAGTATTGAGGCGATTAAAATATAGTACGCATTAAAGAAATATATGAATATTATTGAATTTATTATTATTGTAATTATAAAATGAAAAAATATATTTTTTGTATTAATAATAAAATATTGAGTAATTGATTATCATTAAAAAAATGTAAACTCTTATTTATAACAAAAATATAAAATATAATTTTTTTTATTAAATAAACGGAGAAAATGTAAAGTATATATATTATGTTATAGAAAATATATAATCTTAGAATTTTTATACTATTAAAATTATTTTATAAAAATAATCGAAGTGCTTTATTTATCTTTAACGTATACTTTTATATTTAATAAAAAAAATAAATATTGTTATTTGAATTATCTGTGTAATAAATAAATTATACATTAAATATTTAGTAATTAACATATATTAGGAGTGCGCTTTATATAATAAACATTTATAATAATAAGAAAATAGAAATTTAGAATTATATAATTATTAACAAGTTTAAAGGAAAAATGATATAAATATATTATTAGTTAATATTGATAAAAAACTAGATAATAAATTATATAAGTTTTTATAATTTTATTATAATAAGAAAAGATAATTATTGTGATATAAAAAAATTCTTTATTCATAAAACTTTTTTACATTTAAGAAAATGAAATTAATGATGTTTATTGTTTGTATTATTATTTAATTAATATATAAATTGTATACAAAAGTTATTATTATTATATTAATAATAGTAGAAGTGCGTTTTATATAAAAAAGGAAAAATATAAATTTATGATTTTTACAAAAAAGCTTAAAAAAATAAAAAAATATATATTTTTTGTTATTTATATTTATAAACAGTAGAAAAAAAATAATATAAGAATTTTTAAATTATATAATATAAATTTTAAGAATATTATTATTAAAAAAAAATATTAAAAATATATTTTATGATACTTGTTATATTGAAATAATCATATAATTATTTGTTATTTGTATTATTATATAAATACTATACAAATTATATATAAAGATTTTTATTATGAAAATAAATATTAGAAGTGCTTTTTATATAATAATATTTATAATAAAAATATATATATATTTATTATTATTATTTATAAAAACCATTCGCAATTTTTTAAAAAAGGAAAATATAATTTTTATTATTAAATAATTCATTTTAAATAATTCAGTATGATAATTATTACTTAAAAATTCAAGCTGATTATTATAAAAATATACATTTACCCAAAAATAATAGGTATAATTATTTAGTTAAATAATAAACTTATTATTCTTATTTATTAAAAAAACTGATAACAAAAAATTTTTAATTGTTTTTATTAATAGAGCAATTTTTATTATCTTTTTTTATATATGTAAAGATATAATAAATAAATAAAATTTCTATTAGAATATATTAAGCGAGTTATATATAATAAGCATTCATTGATAAATAAAAAATAATAAACAATTTATTATTTGTATTAATAAACATAAAAAATAAAATAAACGTTTATTATATTAAAATATTGTAAACGTGTAATTTATTATTCGCATTTAATAAAGAATTTGGTAAAGAAGATATTATCTTATAAAAAGTATATAAGTGCAATATTAATAATTCAGTTATTTAAATAAATATATATATTATAAAGTTTATAATTTGCAATCATTAGAGGAGGAAAAATACTTTTTTTTAATTCTACGAAATTTTATAAATTTATTTATTATATCTATAATAAACTTTTAATATTCTTATTATGTTTTGTTAATTTATTACTATTATTAAAACCTTCTGACATTTTTGTTATTTTAATTATTTTAAGCCTTTTATTATTTATTTAATTTTTATTTATTTATTATTGTAGTTAACTCTGTTATTTAAATAAACATTAATTGTATTATAAAAAATATAAAAATTTATTATTAGAAAATATTTTAAGCGTGTGATTTATAATTCTCAATCATTGTAGTATATATATATATATATATATATATATATATTTATATATTCTACAAATTAAAACATAAAATAAATTTACTTATTAAAAGTATAAAATTATTTACACATTTATTAAAAATATAAAAAAAATCATATTTTTATTTATTAATAAAATAATATTATTTAATATTAAAATTTTGTTTGTTTGTTAATAATTATTTTATTATAAATTGCGAAACTTTTTTAAGTTATTACAATTAAATAAATTTTTAAATAAAAGATTAAATTATTATTAAAATTGAACAATTTTTAATATCCTTTTAACGAAAATATTTTTGTATAAATTTTAAATATTTTATGAATTCCTTAACTTTACTTTAAAAATTCTATAATTTATTGTAAAGTACAACAATATTTTGGCCTTGAAAATATTATTTAATTAATAAATTTTACATAATTATAATTTAAATAGAATTAAAGAATTTTTTTTTTAATTTATTAATTAAGATTTATTATAGCAAACTAGTTATACACATTAAAATTATTTCTTTTACTTTAATAATTTTTTTTTAATTTACTTTTATATAAGTTGTTTTATTATAAATTATTAATACTACTTTTTAATATTATTAGAATAAATTTATTATTATTTATCTCGAAATCGTTGTTTAAACTTTTTAAGTAAATTTTTAAAAATTTATAGAAATATTTTTATAATAAGAAAATTTTTTTTTAAAATTTTGTTTATAAACTTTACTACTGAAATTTATTTTCTTTTACAGTTAAACTTATATAAATTTACTTCTTTTTATCTTTCTAAACTTTTTTATATGAGTTCGTTTTACACTAAAATTTTATTAACACTTTTTAATTTATTTATACTAAATTATTTTCAATAAAATTTTTTATTGAGTAAATTCTTGAAAAATTATAAAAATATGTGGAAATTAATTTTTAAAAACTTTTATTATAGCACTTTACTCTTATTTTTTGGTAACTCCTATTTTATTATATATTTTAATTCATAATTCGAAATTTTTTTTTCATAACATTTATTTTAAAAATAATGATAAATACGACAGTATTGTGACTGTGAAAATACTATTTATTAATTAATTTATAACAATAATAAAAAGAATTAGTTATATTATAAAAAAAATTAAATTTTGATTTTATATGAAATTCTTTAAAAAATAATTTACAATTATAAATTTAATTTTTTTAACTTTAAAATTTACATTAACATTATTATAAAAAATTTGTTAAGTAAAACAATTTTTTAAAAAATATTATTTACTAATAATTTTTTTAAAAAGTAATAGAAGAAAAATTATATTATAAAATTTTAAAATTTTATTTAAATTTTTAAAATACGAGAATATTGCGACTTTGACAATATTATTTAATAATAAATTTATTATAATTATAATTAAAAAATTTACTGTATCATAAAATTTATAACTCGTAGTTCACATAAAATTTATTATAAAAATGTTATTTACTTCAATATGATAATATTACAGAAACTATATTATAAAATAATTGTGAATTACGACAATATTGAGACTTTCTGAAATTATTATTTAATAACAATTCTATATAATTATAATTAAACAAATATATTGTTCGAAATTCACATTATATTAAAAAATTATCTAGTACGACTACATTGACTTTGAAAATATTATAAAAAATTTATATTATAAGAGAAATTGTTTAATACGGCAATATTGCCATTTTAAAAGTTTATCAAATAAAAAATTTTTATAAAGTAATAAAAAAATAAATTATATGATACAATTTAACATAATTATAATAATATTGTTCGGTGCCACAATATTGTTATCTTAAAAATACTTTTACATAATAGATTTGTTAGTTCTATATAAAATTATTTATTTACTCTACATAATTTTTTAGTATACATAATTATTATTATCTTTTTCTATTTTTTTGTTTTCTTATTATTATTATTAAAAAAAATTCAATTTTTTTCTATTTTTTGGTATATTACCATGAAATCTTTAAAATTTTTTTATCATATTATTAATTTTGATAATCTAAATTTACTTAAAATAATATTTAGACTTTAAGCTTTTTTTTTTCTTTTTGAATTTATCATAATTTTATATTTAAAATTTAGAATTCTCTGTTCAAACACATTTTCTATAAATTAGTTTTTTTCTAAATATTTGATAACTCTTTTAAATTCAAAATATTAAAAAAAACTGTTAAACATGACAATTTTATGAACTTTTAATTATTATGAATTTGAAATACTTAATTTATAAAAGTTATTTTTACAATTTATTTATTTATTACCCTTAAATGAGTATATTTTAAGCTTTTAAAATTATTATATTTAAATATTTATTCAAAAAAGTATTTGTATTAATCAATTTAATATAAATTTTATTATAACGAATTCGTTAATATTTAAATTAATTTTTTTTTAAAAAATTTGAATAATTTATTATAAACTTCTTTTTAATAAAAATCTCTTTTTTAATTATATATTTTTTTATTAATAATTAAATTAACATCTATTCAGGTTAATTATACTAAGTATTTCATAGCCAAATTGTTCACAATTTTATAATAATAACTTATTTTTATTAATAATAAAAACAATGAAAAGTTCTATTTTATAATTTTTTTTAAAAAAAAATAATTTAGAAATTTTTTTTAATAAACTTCTGCAGTGAAATTCTATTTTTCTTAAAAAAATTATTTTTCCAAAGGCACGAAAATATGCGAAAGCGATGAAAGCGCCTTTAATCTTTTGTTCGTCTGCTCATTCTATAAACGTTCAAAAAATCTTCAAAATTATTTTGGCTAAATGCTTTGAACTAAAATGTAATAAACTTTTTTCCTATTATCAAAAGTTTCTTAAATTTACAAAAAAAAACTTTATATTAAAATAAATTATTACATATTTTTATAAAATTAATGTAAACTTTATTATTTATTAGTGTTTGTTTTCCAATTTCTATTAAAGTGGAAGTTATTTATAGAATTTTTAACTTTTTAAAATCAAAAATTGTTTTATAAATGATATTTACTCATTAAGATTTAACATTATTTTGGCGTAACTAAAACATAAACTTTTTATATAAATAAAAGTTTCCATAAAAAATTAAAAAAAAATATTATAATTTTACTTCAAAAAACTTTTACCCAAATAAATTTATAACAATTTTTTATTAAACTAAAGTAAATTTTATTTTATTATTTATTAAAGTGTTATACAAGTGAAAGTTATATATTTAAATGCTTTTAACTTTTATTTATTAAAGTTTTTATTAATTTTTTTAAAAAAAATTTACTTATAAAGATTTGAAATTATTTTGGAGAAAATGCTTTGAATTAGAATAGTAATAAACTTTTTACTTAAATAAAGTTATAACAAAAAATATATAATAAAGTAAATTTTGTTATTTATAATAGAATAAAATGCTTTATAATTTTAATTAAAGTAACATTTCTTTTATCTATTAACGAATTTTTTAATTTTTTTATATGATTTTTACTATAATCTCATTTTGCTTAAACTTTTTTAGCTTTTTTTAAAAAAAGTTCTTTACGGATTTTATTAAATTTAACTCTATAAAGTTATTATATACTTTTTTCTACAAATTTCTACTTTTTACTAATACTAAACAATTATCTTACAGATTTCTCTAATTAATATTATTAATTATTACTTTTAACTGATTTTCTATAAGTTGACAAATTTTACTTTAGTAAATGTTTTATTTTTCCTAAAATTCTCTACTTGTTATAATTAATAAAAATCTATAACATTTTTTTTGGGAGCATTTAATTTTTAGAATGTGCTCTATATTTGTTGTTTTCAATAATTATAAATTATCTAATAATAATTTAAAAGATCTAAATATTAATGTAGAGAAGTATATAAAAATAAAATATAAATAAGAAAGTAATAAGGAGAGAAAATATATAATAAATAATCTTTCATTGTTCGTTTAAAATTTTATTAATACTAAAATGGAATGCTTAAACTTTTGTAATTAAATTTTAGGTACAATTCCTCAAATAATAGAAATTGGCGAGCCTCTTTTGCAGTATTAAAATTGAACGAAATGAATTATATTTTAATCAACTTTAAATACTTTAAAAAATTATTACGAAATAAAAATTTTTTAATTTTTAATTTGTTCAATTTTTTAAAAAGAACTGGTATATTTAGTAACCAAAAAGAATTAGTTAAGTGTTACAAAGATGAGCTATATTGCTATATTATATAAAATGATATAAACTCCCTTCAGAGATTTATTACTATATGAAAAGTTAATACTCTTAGTTGGAGTTAACTCTAACAAATCACATGCTATAGCACGTGTTTTTACTTCTGTTCCCCATTTTGTACATCTTGTAATTCTCCTCCTGAAGGTATAATTCCCTCCCTCTACGAGAAAATATATTGATCTCTCTTCCTCTTTTTCTCCGTCACTTTTAAAATTTTCAAAAATCCATTTTATAAAAAAAATAATAATTTCAAAATTTTAAAAAAAATTGCCAAATTTAGAATTCTTTTTGTGCTAGTTTAGTATTTACAACAAATATATAGCAATAAATTCCTTTTTTATTAATTTTTTTATATTAATATATGAATAACTAGTTATATATATTATTACTTATACGGTAAAGTTAATTATTTGTCCAAATGAATTTTAAATTTTGTATAATTTTAACATTTTTTTTTATAGATATTATACTCTTTTAAGTGTTTATTTAAATAATTTAGTGAAAAGTATTAATGTTAAACCCTCAAACTTTAATCCCTTACACTTTAACTATAACATAACTATTAACCAATTAAAAAAATACTTAAAAAAAATAAAATCAGAAATAATTGTAAAATTTATTGAAAATATTTTGTTAAAAACACCCGTTTAGTCGTTTTGGCAGAATATAAATTAAAATTGAACGAATACTTAGCAAATTGGTAGGAATTCACTTAATAATGCAGTATATACTTTTGTTGTTTACTAGTAAAGCAACGCTCCTTTTTTTAATAAAAATTAAAAGTATTATGATTTTATTAGCAAATTGGCAGCAATGTTTTTTCTACTGACTCACGAGAAAGTTTTCATCAAAAGGAGTATAGTGTCATTCAGTTTAACTGGGCACATACGCGCCCCTCTACCCTATAGGCCTCGTTTATTATAGCCCAACTAAAGATTTAATGTTCTCTGAAAATAGAAAGCGCAAATTCAACCGAATTAGAGTTATAAAAACTCAGAAACTTTGTAATAACAAATAAAAGCAAACTTAAGACAATATAAAAGTAAGAGAACTATAAGAAGAACATTTCATTAGTAAATCTTAATTTTAACATATAAAAAACTATCGACTGTTAAAGCAGAACAGTTAAATTAGAACTATTTAGAAACAAGGCGGTGCTTTATTATAAAGAATATAACAAAACTCTAGGCTTTCTATAAACCCGTTATCAAGCTATACACAAGCGTTATCATCATAAAAATTTCTTTAGAATAAGAAAATTTATCTAAGGTAGTCTAACGAACCAACACTATTTAGGAAATTTTAGTATACTTTTAATATAAAATTACCTTCAATTAAAAGTAAGCTATTGAGTACTAGTGCTAACAATTTTTATCTTTTTTAATCTTACTAGATTTTATGCCAATTGAATGTATATATATTAAACTATATTAAATAATGGTAGACTGGAGCTCAAATAAACACCCCCGATTGAGTAGACCTTAACAAGTAAAGCAATACATTAAAGATTTTTTTTAGGCGCTCTGATAATAATCTATGGAACTAAAATAAAAACGTTAGATGCATCTCATGATCCTTTCTGTATAACGGCGACAGCTAAAGCCGTCATCCAATAATAAATTCATTATATCGCTTGCGAAAAGTCTTAGCGGAGGAGGAAAAAAACAGCTGGGCTGATCTACTCGCTCTCTTTAAATATGACAATTAAATTTAATAAGTTTGACTTGGAGCAAGTAAAAAAGTTTTACAACGTTCTAGAAAGCACTCTCTCTTAAAATGAAAGCTCCAATGTTGAATTCCCAAATCAGGGAAGTTAATATCGGAAACCACTGCGACTCTTGATGTAAAAGGCTAAAGGGTCCCCGATTCCATCTCCAATTCTACTTTCAAACACCCTAAAATAAAGGTTCCTTAGGTACATTCAAACATCATTAACTCTCTTTTTTAACAATTCTTCGTTCTTGAACCGCTAAAAATTTGAGAAATTATTTTCATTTCAAAGTATAGCAGTAAATGCAGGTTATATAAACATCTCCCTATCAGTCTTTGTCGTGCCGGGGAAAGTGGCAGAGTGGTTATCCGTAAGATATTACAGAAATTAGTTTCTAAAAAAAAAATTAGCGAAAAGCGGTTTGGCTTCGAACAGAAACACTTTGCAAACTAACAGCATATAAGATTTTCTGTGCTCGTAACTAAAGCCTTTGATAGGGTATGACACTACGAGTTGCTGTACAAGATGATTCCATCAAATATTTTTATTTCGTTGATAAAGCTTTTGTACTCGTTTCTCATCGTATGTTTATAGCCAAAATAGGCGAGGTAACGCCAAAGACATTAAGACAAACTGCCGGGTCCCAACAAGGAGCTTTATTGTTACCCCGTACTTTTATAATATATGTATTTGATATATTCAAATTGAGCACAGTTTCAATCGCTCAATATGTTGACGACCTCGCCCTTTATTACAGTTTCAAGTCGCAAGCTTTAGCTACCGGCGATTTTACCATCCTTAAAGCTTGGTTACAATAATGGAAATTAATATAAACAACTCAAAAAGCAATGCCTTACTTGTTCTCTGGGAAACGAAGTATCCCTAACCTTTGGGGAACTCACTTTATTTTAACCAAATTATTCCGTGAATTTCATACCAAGAACTTGAGTGTTATAGTAGATAACAAATTCAATTGAAGGTAGAATTATGTAGTAAAGAAAGTGGTGCTAAAATAAGTTCGTATTTTCTTCTCTGCTGCACAAGCAGGCTTTTACTTTGTAACAAACGTCTCTTCTATATGGAGTATACAAAACCAGTATTGCTGTAAGCGTTAATAGCCCGGGCTACTTCGGAGGAAAACCTTATATAAGTACAGTTACTAAAAAATAAGTGTTTGCGAATTTTTAATAATGCTCCTTAGTTTTGAGCAATAGTCATCTACTTAAAGACTGTCAACTAAAACCTATAGACGACCTTGAAATAAACCGCGCACAACCATCTCTAATAGCATACAGCCAACACACCGACATGTTGCTCGGTTGAAGCGCTAAAGTACGACCCCAGTTGGTATGCTAAATACAAGCGGCCGAAACAAGTACTAGTTAAAAGGTAGTAAAATATCTAGAAGCCCAGTTGGCATAGACTGAAGGGACTGCTTTACCCTCCATAAGGATTTCTTCGCGACTTCTTCTGTTTCTTGATGGTTAAAAAACCACCCCCCTTCAACACGAGGGGAAGATAGATTAAGCAGTTAAAGGTTCTTAGACTTATGTAGAATGTTATTTTTATAAATGAAAAAATCAATAAATAAAAGGCTAACTGGGGTTTCACATCTCTTTTTTTTTTATTTTTGATTTCTTGTTACTTTAAGCTTGTATTCACTTTACTTTATAGTCCTTATTATTCATCCTTTTTTTATTTATCAATTTTATCTCTTTCTAATTTTAAATCGTAACACCCACCCTGAATATATAATCCTTTAAAACTATAACTTCGTTAGCAAAGCTTCCTCACTTAGTTCGACGAACGAACAGATGTGTAAAATGACGAACACATATAGTGTTTTTTGCCAACGAATGACTCTACACTGTGTATTTTCTTATAGAGTTTTAAAAAAAGTCTTTTTTGAAAGCAAATTTCTCTGTAAGAGAAAGTGCAGATCCTTAGTAACCGATATTCGCACTAATATTTTTTGTAAATAGAAAAACACAGTAACCGTTAGGGAAATAATAACATAGTAAATTTATAAATTTCTATCAAATAAGTTTACAGAAGACGAGCATATGAACAAAAAAATCTAATCAGACTTAACTTATCTTTTTGGAGGCTGTCGGTTTAAAAATTTTATAATATATGCACTCAATACTAATCTAAACAAATATTAAAGAAATTGGAAGGGATATACTGTCTCGGCGATTGGCTATCTTAGATATTAAAGGCTAACATGAAATAGTAAGTCCACCAATTAAAATAAAGTTTAAGTATATAACTCGATTTGGGATCTGCAACTATAATAACAAAGAAGAATAGAAAAAAAAACGAGGCAACCACAAGAAAATTTTATTTACTGTTCAGTTTAACTGTATTAATAACTTTTACAAAATAATTTTTTTTAGCGAAAATAGATAAAATGATAGTAAACTTTATTATCACAAAACATTAATAACTGTATTAGTCGAGATATTAAGTGGTTTATACATAATATTTATACTTTTAAGTTTTTTTCCCCCTTCCCTTCTTATTTAAATTACACGAAACATATGTTAATTTGGTTGCAAAAGAAAGGAAAAGAAAACAATCTAAAATATGTCTACTAAGAATTATTTAAAAAAATACTAAATTATACACATCTAGTCGTTTGACAAGGCCGGCCCTCGCAAGATTTTTATATCTTACTCAAGTAACTTTTGACACTACTTCGGGACTAACTGGTACAAAGTTTTACTCTTCTCTCTGTTTTTGAAACCTGTCTACAGTTTTAAAAATTGTAAAAATATCAATTTAGGACTATATTTATATTAATACTAAAAAAGAAGGTTTGGAAATGTTAAAAATTTTCACTAGACTCGATAATGAGGGACAGGATTCCTTTTCTCGAAGAAGGGAACCATCCTCTTCAGATTCTTTTATTGGCCTTATATACAAAAAACTAAAAACCTACATTCAATTTTACACCAAGAAGACTAACGTTAAGGAAATAAATGATGCTACTAGTAATATTTGTAAGGAGATCAATAATAATAGTAAAGTTTTTGATAATAATAATAGTTATACTATCAATACTAATAAGTATGATAAAGGTAGTAATAATAGTATTATTTACAGTCCTGAT